CCCCCCCCCCCACGAAAGATACATTGAAGTTCAATCCCCCAAGACTCTAGGATGTGACTTTGTTTGGAAATGGGGTTTTCACAGAAGTAGTTAAATTAAAATGAAGTCATTAGGATGGGTCTTAATCCAGTATAACCAGTGTCCTTCTAAAAAGGGGAAATTGGACCCAGAGAGAAAGCCACATGAAGGTGAAGGGAGAGATCAAGGTGATATACCTACAAGCCAAGGGATGTCAAAGATTGACGGTGACCACCAGCCCCCAGGGGAGAGGCATGGAACAGATTCTCATTCACAGCCCTCAAAACAGACTAACGCTGCTGGACGCCTTGATCTCAGACTTCCAGCCTCCAGAACTATGAGAGAGTAAGTTTCTGTTGCTTAAGCCGCCCAGTTTGTGGTATTTTGTTATAGCAACCCTAGCAAAAGAATGCACATGGACTTTGGGCCCCCCATGCACGTGACTCCCTCCTCCCTGGCTCCAGCCCTCCTCACTGGCGCCAGCCCCACACATTCCACAGGCTCTAGAAGCTCCAGACCTTGGCCTTCTCAGCTCAGCAGGACTGCTGGACTCTTTTTGGATTCTACTGTCTCAGGAGAGTGTCCCCAGGCAGAGAGCTGGTAAAGCTCTGGCTCACTTCCTGTCATAGCAGTTCTGTGCTGCCTGTTGTCGCATCCCTGAAAACAGCAGGGTCACACATTTGGTCCAGTTTGGTAGTTTTTATGGTGAAAGGCAATTCCAGTATTTGTTACTCTGGCATGGCCAGAAGTGGAATTTCTGTTCTAAATTCTTGGAGTTATTTACTTTGAGTAAGTTATGTATTTGAACTCATTTACTCCTCTCAACACCGCTGCGAGCTAGGTCATTAATGTCATGAATTCCAGATTTAAAAAGGGTGGGGGGCAAAAAAAGGTGAAATCACTTGTCCAAGGATATATCCTGTAAATGGTGGAGTTAGATTTTGAAACTAGGCAGTTTAGCTGCAGAGTCCGTGCTCTTCAAAATTAACCTGTTATCTTACGTAGCAGGTGCACGATGAATGTGTTTTGAATGAATGAGCAGAGAGATGGCTGTCTCTTCTACTTTGTTGCCCATTCACCTTACATATTTCACCTGCCCTGGAGGTGCCCTCCCAACATTACATCAGCCTTGTGTCTTCATTTCTCCCCTACCCAGACTTTTGAGATTTTCTGGAGAAAAATCACACTGAACTCCTACCAAGACCAAACCCCTACCAAGTTATCTGGGCCTTTGAAAATACCTAATACTTCTGTCTTGCCATCATCTTTGCCTTCCGTGGACTGTGGGTTCTGCCTCGAATCTCACACGTGTGTACTTCCCTTCTCATTTTCAGGAAAAACACGATTTCCAGCTGTGAACTCTCAGATTCCCACTCATTTCTCTAAATTCGACTTGCATTGGCACCTATCCTTGCCTTTTGCTCGGCTGTCAAAATATTTAGTGTTGCTCTCTCTCTCTCTCTCTCTCTCTGGCTGAGGCATATCCACATGTGGCTGCTGCCTGGTGTCCTCCCTTCCCCAGTCAAGCATTTGGAAGTGTCACTTACTACCCTATGTTCCTACCTGCCCTCTCACCTCCAACTCCCTCCCTCCCTCCAGTCTGGCTTCTGTACTCCTTACCAGTCCATTTATTCATGTTGGCTTTTCTTTTAATTCATTTTATCCTTATGCTGTCTTTAAATGTATTTGTTATCCTTTTAACTCCTGGATGTGGATCCCTAATTTATTAATTTTTTTTCCATTCATTAATCTAACTACTTAAGATCATGAATTTCCCCCTGCTGTGTGTCTTACAGCTTTTCATTTGTGGGACTGTTTTCTATATATATTTAAAAATTCTTGTTTTCCTTTTCTCATTGATCCAAGGGTGTTTAAGAGAAAATTAAAAAATTTCTGTGTGGTAGAGGGGTGCCTGAGGGGCTCAATCAATTAAGTGTTCCACTCTTGGTTTCAGTTCAGGTCATGATCTCACACTTCGTGGGTTTGAGCCCTGTATCGAGCTCCACGCTGGCAGTGAAGGGCCTGCTTGGGATTCTGTCTCCCTCCCTCCCCTCCTCCACTCACACTGTCTCTCTAAACAAACAAACAAACAAAAAAACCTAAAAAAATTTCTGGGGTTGTCTAGGTGGCTCAGTTGGTTGAGCGTCCAACTCTTGGTTTCGGCTCAGGTCATGATCTTAACGGTTTCATGGGTTTGTGTCTCACATCAGGCTCTGCCCTGACAGTGTGGACCCTGCTTGGGATTCTCTGTCTCCCTCTCTCTCTGTCTCTCTCAAAATAAATAAATAAACTTAAAAACAAAATAAAAAATAGGTGTTCCTTGGTGGCTCAGTTGAATGAGTGGCCAACTCTTGGTTTAAGCTCAGGTCATGGTTTTGCAGTTCATGAGTTTGAGCCCCACATGAGGCTCTTCCCTGACAGTGTGGAGCCTGCATGGAATTCTCTCTCTCTCTGCCCCTCCCATGCTCATGCTCTCTCTCTCTCAAAATAAATAAACTAAAAAAAATGTTGTAAATAATAAATAAATAAATTATTTTTTTGTGTGGTAGAGTATCTTTTTTTCTTCTTCTTCTGGTTTTGTAATGAATATCTGTTTTGTTGCATTTTGTTTTTTTTTTTAATTTTTTTTTTCAACGTTTATTTATTTTTGGGACAGAGAGAGACAGAGCATGAACGGGGGAGGGGCAGAGAGAGAGGGAGACACAGAATCGGAAACAGGCTCCAGGCTCTGAGCCGTCAGCCCAGAGCCTGACGTGGGGCTCGAACTCACGGACCGCGAGATCGTGACCTGGCTGAAGTCGGACGCTTAACCGACTGCGCCACCCAGGCGCCCCTGTTTTGTTGCATTTTGATCAGAGTATTTTATTGTATAGTATTTATACTTTGGGGAAGTTTTCTAATTACTCTGTTGTTTTATATACAGTAAATTCCGAATATTCCATGGACAGCTTTAACAAAAGGTATTTACTTTCTGTTTTCAGACTATAGAGCTCAACATATAAATCAACCAAATTTGTGTTATTAATTCCATTTTAATATCTCTTCTATCCTTCTTTGTTGAAGAAAATGTGAACATACGAAGCCTGTGGCCCTTTCCCTGAGTATGGGCTAGGAAGGGTCAAAAAACCAGACTCTCAATATGGTACCAGAGCAGAAGAAATGTTACTGTGGTTGCTTCACAGCCCAGAGCATCCTGCGGGAGTGGGAGAGTGATTTCCCTTGTTTCCGAGTGGGAAATGGAAATAGGGCATGGGGAGAGACAGAGGCCTGGAGGTTACCGAAAGGGGATGTTGCAACCCTTGTTAATCAGTAATCTAAGACGGGGTTATGCAATGGAATCTTAGTAGATGCCAACAGTGTGGACAAATGCCAGCTTCCCCTGCCTGGCGCCACGTAAATTCCCCGCTTCCTGGCCTGGTGAAGGAAGACTCTGAGTGATTGAGATGTAACGTCTGCCACGATCTGAATGGGACTCAAAGAAGAAATTCAGTTCAGCTATAGAATAAGTAATTTTTGCACATTCATTCCACATCGGCAGCTCCAGCTCAGATCTCTCTGTGCAGTCCAGACTTAGATCTGGGTCAGCTTAGGTTTTTCAGCCTCAAGCTGAAGCTAAACCCATCTCTGTTCATCATCTTGTCCTCTTCACCCCTCAACTAAAACCTGCTCTTCTTGTCTTCTCTACTTTCTAAATATTGTCCGCATCCAACAAGTTGTCTGGGGCAGAAACCGGGTGTTGTGGGAGTGGGTGTAATTCAGAAAATGCTAAAGATTGGGGCACCTGGGTGGCTCAGTCGGTTAAGCATCAGGTCATGATCTCCAGGTCCATGAGTTCGAGCCCCACGTCGGGCTCTGTGCTGACAGCTCAGAGCCTGGAGCCTGCTTTGGATCCTGTGTCTCCCTCTCTCTCTGCCCCTCCCCTCCTCATGCTCTGTCTCTCACTCACTCTCTCAAAAATAAATATTTTAAAACATTAAAAAAAAAAGAAAACGCTGAAGATCAAAAACCAACTAAGATGTATCCATCCTGTTAACAGCCAGAGATACTGGCAGTTCACAGGGGAGTAGTTTAAAAACTGGACATGCTTTTAAAATCGTTTGCAAAGCCGCTGTAGAAGAGGATCCGATACAGTGGAGCAGGAGAGCCTAGAAATCCTGCTGCACCAGCCAAATCCACTGAAAAGCCTGGGGACCGGGGTGGGGGAAAGAGCAGGTCCACTCCTTGCAGAGGGAGCTGGAGAACAGGAGCAGAGTTGCCAAGTGTGGCAAAGGCAAATGGCTGAAGGGAGGAGGGCTCGGGGAGCGCTCTTCATTGGCTGTTCTGGTCTTTCCCCGAGTATTTGAGGACTGGCGGAGTGACTGTCTGAACTCCATTAAGAAGGCCCCAGAGCATCAGGCTGCCTGCTCCTTCCTGGACAAAACTCAGGATTCTCTATGGCTCTTCAGGAATCCACAGCGCTGGATTTCTACCAGACGTATTTTGAACCCATGGTCTACCTGGACTACTTCAAGATGGGCCAGAGCCCTGTGGGTGATGATTGCCTCTACTTCCTGCTAAAACACTACAACGCCATTTTTAAATCAGGTGCTAGTTTCCTTGAACCCTGGAGGAGGTTTGTGGGGGGAAGGGTGGCGATGCAAATTTTAAATCAGGTGCTCGTCTTCTTCAACCCTAGGGCAAGTTTCAGGATGGGGGTAGAGGTGGGGGGGGGGGGAAGGGTGGCCAGACAATTGACTGGAACTTTCGACCTGGATGGAGAGTTTGTAGAACTGCTCTATGGGACCAGGTTAGATGTACTTGATGTGTGGTACATGGTGGGATGCCCTAAACATTTCTGGGGTCGCTGGGACAAGATTTTCTCCTCCCATGAAGTTGAGGAGCTGCGATCTTTCATGGTCCTGCGTGGTCCTATCTTCTAGCAAAAGGAGTCCCTGGCAAAAGAAGCTGCACGGGGCATCAGAAAGTGTAGGAAGCGTTCGCTCTTTTGTGTGATTACCGCTGTGCCTCGTGAAAACATCGTGGGTGGGTGGCTCTCAGATTTGCCCCTAGGGGAAGAAAGGTGCTCGGCAGCCCGAACTATTAAAATCAAATACTGGGCATCTTTTCATGATTCACATGAGAAGGAAACATAACCCAATAGATAGAATTTCCCCAATTAACAATCTCCTGCTCTCACATTTTCTGAAACCTTTGATGCTTGCTCAATTTATCTGCCACTATAGCCTCCAGGTAACACAAATGAAGGGGAAACAAACAAAATGTAGCAGCAGAATCCAGGAGCAAAGGGGCAGGCTCAGTTCAGCAGCAGGTCAGGATCCCTCAGTCCAGCTGGGTTTCTGTCCTTGCTGCCTTGTTGTTTATCTCGGAAGCCTCTTGCCATATTCCAAATGCTGCTGCCATTTTGTGTTAACCCAGTCTCTCCCTGGCTGGAGAGAAGCGGAGGCCGAGGACTCTGCCGGCAGGTCTGTATTCCCCTTTTAGTCCTCACACTGCTAAGAGAGTGTCTGGGAATGCAGGCGGCGCTCAATGAATGTTTGCTGATTGATCTTTGGAATGTTGTAGATGGTCTCTGGGTCATAGGACCCTTCAGCGAAGAGTGCTTGGAATGTGGAAGCCAGTGTCCTCGGAAATGTGACCAGATTTCTTCTCTGAACACTTATTTACAGTGCTAAATTGGCCGTGGAAATGACAAAGCTGCTTCTCTAGTAATTGTCCCCCCTACACACCCCAAACAGGCTCTCCTGCTGCTCACTCTCCCCTCCTACCACGTTCCCCATGCTCAGTGCTGGCACTGTGTGACGTAGCGCCTAAGGCTGTCCGGGCAGGCAAAATCCCTAACGCTGGAGTTTACAGTCCCCGATGGTCGACTCCCCGCAGCCTCTCCAAGTGGGAAAGAGAGCGGAGCCTTTGGGAAGGCCCTCAGAGCTGTGGTTCGGTGCTGACGGCTTAGAATGCGTCTGTTCTAAAACAGGTGGGCTGAAAGGAAAGCTCCTGATTGACATTGGCTCCGGGCCCAGCATTTACCAGCTCCTCTCCGCCTGCGAGTCTTTTGAGGAGATAATCGCCACTGACTACACGGACAAGAACCGCCTGGAGCTGGAAAAGTGGCTGAAGAAGATTCCAGGGGCGTTCGACTGGTCCCCAGTGGTGAAATATGTGTGTGAGCTTGAGGGGGACAGGTAAGGGGTTTGTTGTTTGCTTTGGGGTTGCCACGATGCGAGCTGCACTTAGCTCTCCGAATCAAGAGTTTATCATGGGCCTCGTGTGGAAATGGCGAGGCAGGTGGAGACTAAGAAGGAAGGAAGTTAGTGGGGTTCCAAGAAGAAGAAAGGAGGAAGAGTGTGACATGAATCCAATAAAGACCAAAAAGAGGGAACAGAAACAGATGGCTACAGACAGACCCAGAGCCAAAAGGGAACTGTCACGAGCGCCTACCCAGAATGCCAAGGCATGACCCCAGGCCGATGTGGATGGGGCAGGGTGGCAGCCAGCTGGTGTTTGAGGGCAGACAGCCGTTCTGATTGGCAGGTGGCCCTGCTGTTCCAATTACAACCTCCAGGTGGCTCCAGACTTGGGGAATCTTTCTGTAGATCGCAGGGGCCGGGCCTAGAATTAAGACCCATCTTGCACAAGTGAACAGAATCTACTTACCTTGGATCATTTCAGGGCACCAGGAAGGCCCACCATGGCACCTCCACTCCCCAAATACCACTCTCCCCAGTTAGGTAGGACGGTTGCAGATGTACATTGGATTCTTATTCCTTTTGCTTAAGACTGCGACTTTTTAAAAATACAGAACTGGAAAGGGTAAACCTTTAAGTGCTTGTCCCCGTGCATACCTCAGTTTGAATGAGCCCCGTGTGCTGAGAACACGTGTAGGTAAGAAGAGAACGTATGAGGCGATGAGGAGGTCGAGTGGGGTGGCCAAGAGACACCGGGAGACCCTGGGGGACCCAGCAAAGTCGGCCAAGCTCTCATTGTAGCTTTTCTCAGCTGATTTCAGGCTGGCTTTCCATTTCTGGTTGTACTTACCCGGGTCGTGTTAAACACGGACCGAGTGGAGACAGAATAGGCCAAGCACCAGGCATACGTTGCTCAGCGAGGGCCCACGGGTGGAAACAGCAGCGACCTCGGGGTCAGGGTTTGCAGGTCCTCGGCTTTGACCTTATGCACAGCTGGCTTCACAACCGCGCCCCTCTCTGGGACTCAGAGAGTGTCCCCTCTCTGGGACACTGTAAGACTGGTAACTTGATATTCCGGGAGTCTGTGTGGAAGGCAGAGAAAGGCGGGAGTGACGTACGCCTCTCACACGATGAGCCTGACCCAGCTGGCCTCTCTTCCCTCTTCCCTCCGCTCAGAGACAGGTGGGCTGACAAGGAGGAGCGGCTAAGGAGAACCGTGACCCAGGTGCTCAAGTGTGACGTGAATAAAGAACAGCCCCTGGAGCCTGCAGTCCTGCCCCTGGCGGACTGCGTCCTTTCCTCCCTGTGCCTTGAGGCTGCCTGCCTCACCCAGGAGGCCTTCCGGGCTGCCCTGCGCCACATCAGGACCCTGCTCCGGCCCAGGGGCCATCTGGTGCTGGGCGGGGGCTTTGACACCACCTTCTACATGGTGGGGGCGAAGAAGTTCCCCTGCCTTCCCCTGAAGGAGAAATTCGTGTGTGAGGCTCTGCAGAAGTCCGGCTTCACCATCGAGAAGCTGGAGACGGCTCCGCGGGCAGCTGAGACCATGTCGGATGAGCAGTCAGACTACACCGCGATGTTCGTCGTCGTGGCCCAGAGAAACGACTGACGTATTGGACTTGGAAGGGGGGTGAGCATGCAGGGGTCATTCGGTTACCCCATTTCCTTCCCTCTGCGCTCAGTTGGCTTTATTTAGAACTCTTCCTTGCCAGCAAATGCTTTTAGAGTCTTATTATACGTGACTGCCAGATAATTAGGGATGTTCCTCTCAAACAGAGAGGTTCATAGTATACTCCACTAACGTCCCGGGGTTGGGGAAGAATTGGGCCAGAAAATAAAGCTTGGCCTCCCCTAGTTTTGAGGGCACCTTGGGGTTGCATGGGAGCGAAGAGGGTAGAGTCCCCCGTGCCCTCCTCCTTGAGGCATCTGGGGACGGCTCGCCTTCTGAGCTCATTCATCATTTGCATCTTCACCCCTGCTGATGACACCACCGCCCCGTCCCACAAAATGAAAGGAACACGGGCTTTGGCACAAGAAAACGTGGGTTTTGGTACTTGGCTCTTGTGATGATAGGTAGGTCATTCGTATCTCACAGCCTCAGTTTCCCCATCTCTGAAATGCAAATAATAAGACCCCTCCCCAGGCTTCCTGTGACACCCCAAATATATAACATGAACACACCTGCTAAACAGCTACGTGTGCGATGGCGTGTTTTCACTGACCTTGCATGTGCAGGTAATAAGCAGTTCTTTTTTTTTTTTAATTTTTTAACGTTTATTTATTTTTGAGACAGAGAGAGACAGAGCATGAACAGGGGAGGGTCAGAGAGAGGGAGACACAGAACCTGAAACAGGCTCCAGGCTCTGAGCTGTCAGCACAGAGCCTGACACGGGGCTCGAACTCACGGACCGCGAGATCATGACCTGAGCCGAAGTCGGCCGCTTAACCCACCGAGCCACCCAGGCGCCCCAGTAATAAGCAGTTCTAAAGGGAGCTGGAGGCGTTGTTCTCTTTTGTCCGGTGCGACCCACCTAAGCCAGTTGCAGACGGGCACGGGGCCCTTGGGGAAGACTCTTGAAGGAAGTAGCAGCAGATCCGGGGGATGGGAGGGGTGAGTGGGAGGAAGCCAGGAGAAAGAACGGGGCGGGAATAGTCTGTGGAGAGCAGGAATTGTCAGTAGCAGTAGCATGTGCCAAGACCCAGAGGGAAAAGAACATGCTGTGTTTGCTGAACTTCAGCAGGAAAAACTGACACCTGGGTACAAAATTTGGGGCCCTGCCCCTGGAGATCTCTGATAAAACACCTTGGGCACTGGCATGGTAGAGCAGACCAGCGTTTCAAGTGGGCAGAGAATTTGCCAAAGCAGTGACGGTTGGCGGGGGTTGGGAGATGGGTAAGCAAGTGATTTGTTCATCCAACAAATATTTGTTGAGTGCCTACGAAACACCGGGCACCGTGCTAGGTGTGTCAGAAACTTTGCCCAGGGCTGGTCCTCGCAGTAAACACAGTTTTGCCATGTCTAAGCCCTTGATCACATTCTACCCCATGTCTGTGTATCTGTGTATATTCTTGTGTGTATATGTAGGTACGGGTGTGTGTGTGTGTGTGTGTGTGTGTGTGTGTGTGCTGATGATGGTCGTAGCGGGTGGGTCAGATCCATTCCATGGTGTCACCACATGAGTGATAGGAGAAGCAGACTCTCCAAGGCTAGGATCAGATCAGGAGTTAGTTAGCTACTAAAAGCTGGCAGTAGATGCACCCAGAGGCTGAGTGTTCGCACCTCCTCCAAGGAGACCTCCAGGGGCACACTGGAGCGTGCAGCCAGAAAGCTGGGCTGGGCTGGAAAATATAAAGCAAAGAGCAAGGTGGGTGGGCATATGGGGAGGGTGTCCAGGCACAGGTGGTCTCAGTGGGACCGACTTGCCCAATGCTCTACCTCACTGCATCAAGTGTGGGCACGCATCCCGGGGTGTGTTCCCCTGGGGTCCTGGTGTCAGTTACACGGGCAGTCACCTCAGGGAGCTATTGACTCCCTTACGTGATATTCAAGTTGCCCCTTAAACTTTGTGGGCTGTGAGTGAGCATTGTGTTTGGCTTCCTGGGAGGTAGAGAGATACCAATATGTGCAAGACGTGGCTCGTGGCCTGGAAAGTACGGAAAGGGTTTATGATTCACTGGAGTAACAAGAGACACGCTTTTGTTAAGTTGACACTGAGTAGGCCTGGGACTCTACTGCAAGGCAGGCTTTGTTTGGGAGAGGGATGGTGATGGGAACCATGCCACTGGACAGGATTCATTCTTACTCAGGGACTGAGGAAGGTGTCACGGAGTAAGTGGTAGCCAAGATGAGTTTTAAGAGAGGGTGCTGGTTGGAAAAGTGCTCCCACTGGAAGAAATGCTACTGCTAAAAAACATGGCCTTGGGAAGATACCAGGTAAATGATGTGATGTTTTCTTTGCCTGGAGGGCGGGATCCCTATGAGAGAACGTTGGGGGACAAGGAAGGATAGGAAGGTAGCTCAGGGCATTGGACTCTCCAGGGGGTAATCAGAGTTCATCAATAAATACTCATTTAGAACCTGCCATTTGTCAGGCCCTAAGAAAACAAATATGTTTTATATGTGAAAACAAATATGACACAATTCTTGCCCTTGTTGGGCTCATTCACAGATGGTATGACAGCAGTGTTAAGAGGGGAGGGCACACAGAAGGTCATTCTTAATCTGGGGGAGATAAGGGAGGCATCACAAAGAGGCAATATTTCTTCTTAAAGTTTTATTTATTTATTTTGAGTGAGAGTACAAGTGGGAGAGGGGCAGAGGGAGAGGGAGAGGGAGAGAGAATCCCAAGCAGGCTCCACGCTGTGAGTGCAGAGCCCGATGTGGGGCTCAGTCCCACAAATCGTGAGGTCATGACGTCAACCGAAATCAGGAGTCGGATGCTCAACCGACTGAGCCACCCAGGCACACCACAAAGGGGTAATGTTTATTTTTATTTAGTTAGTTTTTAATTTTACTTTTTTCAATTTACATCCGAATTAGTTAGCATCTAGTGCAACAATGATTTCAGGAGTAGATTCCTTAGTGCCTCTCACTCATTTAGCCCATCCTCCCTCCCACACCCCCTCCAGTAACCAAGAGGTAATGTTTAAAGCGAGTCTTGAACTCACAGTGAGTACCCGATCGCCAGGCAAACAGAAGGTGGGGTGGAGGTAGGCTGGGGTGTTGAAAGCATTTCTGATGGAAGAAGCAGCCTGGCCAAGGTGGGAGCTTTGGGGGGCGGGGACATCAGTCATGTTTGGGGAACCTCAGTCAGGAAACACAGAATAAGTGGCCATTATATTCCTGTCCCTGTTTTGTCTTCTGAGGATATGGTGAATGAGTCCAGCAAGGCCCTGCCCTCATTCGACTTTGGAGAAGGGAAGGCAGACAATAAAGGAATAGACAAAAAAAAAAAAAAAAAAAAAAAAAAAAAAAAAAAAAAAAAAAAGTGAGCCCTAAGAAGGAAATCAGCAGGGAGGTACCGTGGAGAGTAACCGGGGCAGAGGGGGTGGGAGAAGGGCTCAGACAGTTGCTGGGATGGACAGATCTAGACTGAGGTCTGGCACAGCTGGACAGGGCTGTGAGGGCGGGGCACCTAGGGGAGGTGCCAAGCCCAGCAGTGTCCCTCTCTCTACAACAGAGCTCCCCAAAGCTGCAGGGGAGGACGCCTCTGGACGCAGAATCTACAGGCAGAAGGGAGCTGCCCTCCTACCTGTTCCCATCCTGTCTGCAAGCCTCCCCTGGAGAAACTCCCTTTACAATGTTCAAGCCCCCCGCCCCACCCTTACTTTGCCTTCCAGAGGAGGATCCCAGGCACTCAGACCTCCAGGGGAAAGAGCAGGCAGTGAGGGGGATGTCTGGCACACCCCTGGAAGACGAGGCAGGCCGTCCACCTGACCATGTGTCTCTGTATGTGAGTGTGTCCTTCAGGGGAAGGAGGCAGGACAGCAAGATGGCTCCCTGGGGACCAGTCCTAAACCTGTTTTGGATTATTTCCCTTGTCCTTCACTCTCCGGACACAAGGGGGCAGTGGAGCCTTGAGCTTGGCGGACTGCAAGGTCCATGGGGCAGAGGACAGTCTTCCCTCAACCTTGTTTGCCTGAGGCCTGCTCTCCTGTTCAACCTGACCTCTGAATGTGGGAATCAGGAAGAGGAGGGCCACGGCCCGGCCAGAGGACCCTGATTTTCACTGACCTTCACTCAACCATATATAGGATGAATGCCCCCCTCCCCTTCCACAACAGAAACTAAAGCCCAGGTCCTTGTGCTGAAGGATCAGCCCATTAGTAGCTTGGACAAAGAGCAAGGGAGAGGCGCCCTAGCTGGCTGCTGGAGTGGAATTCTTCTGGGCTCTCTCTATTGTAGTGAAAATCTCCCCAAATTTCATGAGGCAGGGGCAGGAGGGTCAAGTGCAGTGGATAGGGCCCAGCAAGTCCATCAGATCCACTCGACAGCTATTAATGCCAATGCATGTGTCAGGTCTCATGCTGGTGCTAAGGAAACAAAGGAGAATTGGCTTCAGCTCTTCCAAAAAGTTCACAGTTAGGTGGGCAAATGGCCACTGCCACACGGAGTGGTTTGTTCCGCACAAGAGTAGGACAGGTACTGGGGAACACAGAGGAGGTGCGTTAACCTAGATGTGGGGTGGGGCGAGGGAGGTCACAGAAGGCTTCCTGGAAGCAATACCCAGGTTGAGTCTTAAGGATAGGAGGGTTTAGCCAAGCAAAGGGCTTTTTTAGGCAAGGGGAAAACATGAGCAAGAGATCAAAGTCAAGAAACAACACGGGAGGGAGATTAAAAGACATTCCAGTGTGTCTGAAAAATTTCCAACGCAACACCCTTTAAGGTTGCAACCATTTTAGTGGCACATGCTCTGTGGTCTGGCTGTCGCCCAACTCTCCAGCCAGTAGAAAGGGCTTTCTGAACAGTTTTGTACATTCAGACAGAAGCTTCAGAGAATTGAGTTTTTCCAGGCTCGGACCTATAGGATTGTGAGAAACTGTATGCTGGGGGAAAGACTTGATAGCAGGGCAATTAGTTTTGGGGTGGGCTTTTTCCTTTGGGACTTT